TTGTGTTAAAAGGATGTCAAAGTAGACGACCAGTTACACTACGTTGCTGAAAACAGAAACAGTTGTTTACAAATTATTCACAGTGTCCGCTACACATAGAATAATCTCGTACAATATACACTGGGTGTTGTGCGCGCACAGGTACACAGGTTAGAATCACGACTAATTTTTTGTCCAGGAAACATCTTATCTGGTACCCCAAGATGCTGAAACCAAAATGAGTAAAAGTATTATCTTTTTTTTTATAGATCAGGATGACAAACGAGCACACAGTCTACCTGATGATATGTGGAAGCTGTTGCACATAAACATCTACATTTATCCTCGATTAATAATTAAAATGCAGATGCGTTGTTACTCGTAAGGAATAAGATGGAATACCTCGTTTCCAGTAAAAAGGGTCTCATGTTCTCTACATTAATCATACGAAACTCTCTGAGCTGTTATTTTACGTTGGTATTCTGTGAGAGCGTGGTTCTTCCCGGTCGAGCCGACCCATTCGTGCTACAACTATAATGCAGTTGCAACGTTACTCTACCACGGTTAAAACTTTCGAATAGTCAAGGCTATAGTGGAGGAGTTCCTCCTTATAACCTTAACTATTCGAAAGTATCACTCCTTCCTACCCGCGACGTTGTATCTAGGTATTTTGACTATTACAAAAATTAGGTTACATGGTCGTTGTAAATGATTACTACTTCCATTTCCTAACGGGCGTATCATCAATACAGCTCTTCACAAGTCCACTGCTAAACATAGGCCTCCCCCAAGGTATGCCACAAAGCACGGTTCTGAGCCACCTGCATCCATCGACTTCCTGCATGTCTTACCAGGTCTTCACTCCATCTAGTGGGAGGTCGCCCTACACCTCGCCTACCGGTTCGAGGCTGCCACTCGAGAACCTTTTTTCCCAACGGTTATCGGTTCTTCGAGCTATATGGCCGGCCCATTGCCACTTCAGCTTACTAATCCGTTGGGCTATGTCGGTCACTCTGGTTCTACTGCGGATATCCTCATTTCTAAGTTTATCGCGCAGAGAAACTCCGAGCATAGTCCTATCCATAGCTCGCTGAGCGACTTTGAGCGTCTTCATACGGCCACCAGTGAAGGATCACGTCTCGGTTCCGTAGGTCATTACGGTCATATTCCAAATACGAGTACTCCTAAATCATATTTATGTCGTTCTATAATGATTATTGATAAATTGAATCAAATTTATAAAGCATAAAGAGTCTTTATTTGTGCCGCATGAGTTGTTTTGTTATTGTTACGAGCTGAGAGGTCGTGACAATAAAACTGCCGATTGAATTACCAAAATTGACACTTTATTTCCCGAAAAACAATTAAAAATTTAAACACACCAATAATTAATTGCACTGATCCTTTTAGTTCTCTTTATTTCGCTCCGAAGCCTCGCTTGTATCGCCATTTCAATACTGCCCCGATCTTTTCCACCGAAACATCCAGAACGTTCCAACAAATACCGGTCCCGACTGACTAAGTGCGGAAAGTTTGAGAGTAGACTCCTCTAGAGAGCCTAATTCTTCCACCCGCCACTAGATGGCGCTGTTAGGAGAGTTCCAAAAAGATCTTGATACTCCTATTTCTGATACTTGATACCATACGGCGCTAGTGCCATCAACTGTGGCGCAAAACACTACCCCCTCCTAAGACATAAGTCCCGAACCTTATAGGTCCCATAATCGACGCGCCAGTCGATCCATGGTCATACATGGACGATCTTAGGAGTACCACTTGCACCTTTGTGTATCCGGTAGGTTACGTCATTTATTCTGGTCACAATCCGGTACGAGCCATCCCATTTAGCTTGAAGCTTAGGAGATTTACCTTTGCTGCGGACTGGATTCTGTAACCACACTAGTAAACCTTCATCGAATCCTTTGTTGTTCATTTTGCGGTCATACTGGGTTTTCATTTTTTCAGACATTTGTTGGCCCGATTGTCTGACGTGCTCATAAATGTCATTCATTTTGTTCCACAAGTCATTTGCATAATCGGTTATACTGCGTGGGGCATCAGGTGGTATCCCGGTGATCAGGTCTGCAGGCAGCAGATTGTGGGAGATAAGAAGTCGTGCTTGTTTCATGAGTACCCATAACTCGGCAAGTTTTCTGGAATATTTGAGACTCAAAATTCCTTCCTTGATCGCTGTGAATCTCTAAAGGTACTCCAAAACGATAGAAGACTTCATGAACTAGTTTATCTGCAACTGTTGAAGCTTCTTGATTGGGAATGGCGAAGACTTCTGGCCACTTAGTGAAGTAATCCATCACAACCATGAAATACTTGTTATCGCTTTTACTCTCCGGAAACAGCCGCGCCACGTCAATGGCTATTCTCTCCCATGGTGCACCAACATTGTACAACTTCAATGCACCTCTACTACGAGTCTAAGGTCCTTTTACAGCCGCACGACATGTACATTTGCGACACCAGTCCTCGACATCGTTTCGACAGTGGACCCAGTAAAACTATTCTCGGATCTTCAGTAGAGTTAGTTTAACTCCCAGATGGCCTCCTGAACAATCATTATGGTACAGCTGTAGAACATCCGGTACTTTAAATTTAGGGACAACCATTTGCAAATGACAGCTGTCTCCCCGAACATTTTCCCATTTACGGCACAGAACTCCATCCTGAAGCAGCAAGCTGTCATTGGACCCAATAGCTTTTGGTGGTGGAACTCATCGCTGAGACGTCGCTCCACTTGGGCTTGGGAGCACTGGCCTTCATCCATCCATTCCAGAATCAGCTTGATGTCCAGATCTTCTTGCTGTACATGTTGTAAGCTGTCCTTCCACTCGTTGCTGAGGTGGTCTATCCTGAGCATCCTCACGGATACCACTTCCTTACTCTCCTGCCTAATACAATTTTTGCAATCTTCAAGACAAGATCTTCTTGACAACGCATCTGCTTTGCCATGAGAATTCCCGCTGCGATGTTCGATCTCAAAATCGTATTCCTGCAGTAGTTCAATCCACCTCGCAACTTGTCCTTCTGGATTTTTAAACTGCAATAGTCATTTTAGTGCAGCATGGTGTTCGTAGGTGAAATTTTTCGCCCCAGAAGATATTTGCTGAAGTGCTGCAACGACTTTTCCACAACTAGCAGTTCGCGTCTTGTGACACAATAGTTCCTTTACAGTTTTGACAATGACTTGCTGAAGTACGCTATCACAACCTATCCATCACCGTTCCATTGAGACAACACCCCACCGAGTCCTGTATCACTTGCGTCTGTGTCAACTATAAATTCCTTGCCTGTATCAGGGTACTCTAATATAGGTGTTTTGCAAAGACGGTCCTTGAACTCCTGGAATGCGATATCGCAACTTTGGTCCCAGCGGAAATGTCGCTTTTCATCGGTTAGCTTTTGCAGAGGTTTGGCTATACCTGCAAAGTTCTTCACAAATCGCCGGTAATAGGAGTACAAACCCAAAGATGCTCTAACCTGCGTCTTGTATTTTGGAACCGGCCAATCCTTGACGGCGGCGATTTTCTCTGCATCCGTGCGGATATCTTCTTCTGATACTACATACCCCAAAAATTTTACTAGCCGTCTGAATAGTGAACATTTCTACGGACTCAACTTGAGGTTGGCACTCTGAATCTTCATGAGCACGCAATCCAGGTTTTGAAGTGTTCCTCAAACGTACGGCCTACGATGATGATGTCATCTAAGTAGACCAGACAAGCATCACCAATTAGTCCGGTAAGTACAAGTTCTGAGCCTGCTCCTGTAGCATTACCATCAGAGCAACTAAGTCAGGTGCTACAAACGTAGGGGCTGCTGACGGGCCGGCCTCCATGGCCAGCGGCTGGCCCTCCGACGTCTGCGGCGTTACACCTCCAAATTGTCTCTTGTCCGTCTCCTGCTGGCGTTGACTTCGGGTACGGACACCCTCCGTTTCGTCCTTCGGTAAATTCGGCATGATTATATCCCACTTCTGACACCAATTGTTACGAGGTTAGAGTCCGTGACAATAAAAACTGCCGATTGAATTACCAAAATGGACACTTTATTTCCCGAACACCAATTTAAACTTAAAACACACTAATAATTAATTGTACTGATCCCTTTAGTTCACTTTATTTCGTTCCGAAGCCTCGCTTGTATCGCCATTTCAATACTGCCCCGATCGCGGCGTGCAGCGGCTTTAAATACACCTTTTCCACCGAAACATTTCTACGGAAAGTTTGAGCGTGGACTCCTCTAGAAAGCCTAATTCTTCCACCCGCCACTAGATGGCACTGTTGGGAGAGTTCCAGAAAGATCTTGAGACTACTATTTCTGATACTTGATACCAGATGGCGCTAGTGCCATCAACTGTGGCGCACAACATTATGAAAGTTTTTAAACCTAAATGTTAATACTTGTGTAATACGAGTATTAAAAAAATACGAGTATATATATATGAAAATGTATGAATGAATGTAAAGTAACTAATATAAGCCAGTGCTTAACTACTATCCCACCTGATGGTTAGATGTGATGAAGCTAAAGATTGTAAAGCGCACTGACTTTGTTTAACAAATACATACGTATATTCAATTTGCAATTTGATAGAAAGACAGATGCTAACAAATTATTCCATTCTTTTGCTGTACGAATTTTAAACGATCTAGCAAACCATTTTGTTCGAAAGCGTGGTATGTCGACAACAAAGGAACGGAGACCATCCGAGCGAGTGGTGGTCGGATTATGGAATGAAGAGGAAGGAATTAAGTTTATCCTTATACTATAAAAAAAAAGATATGCAATTCCTGCGCCCTCTCGCCGAAATTATAATCTGGATGTTAAATTTTATTTTACTGTCAATTGTAGATTTTTTTTGTGTTTGACATTTAAATTAAAATCAATTATATACGGTGTACATGACTGCTTTTTTCTCCGACAGGCAAATAACCTTATTCTCGAAGAAGAAAAATGAAGGAAGATGTAGGAAAGGCACGTGGCAGCCGATATAAGGCGGTTGTGACATGACGCGTGGGCGCCGGCTGTCCCGTTATTCACAAGGCATGGCGTCACAACTTATCGCATTAATATTGTGGCTATGTGGAAGTAAGTTTTTATTTGTTAAGAAAATTAAATACAGTGAGCAAATAATATTATAAACGATTATCTTATAATACTAGCGATCTGCCCCGGCTTTGCACGGCTGATATCTGGATTCTGCAACAGCGGCACCCACAGGGTCCAACTATGCTTATAGCTTTCGCGGAAGTACAAGTAATATGTTGAGAAAGTTTTACCGCAATCTGATGAACGGTGTGGCAGCGTATAAAATGCGAACAAAAATATATATATTTTTATATATTAGATAAGTTATGTTTTAAAACGTAAAAATTAATAGTTTGATTAAGTATGCGTAAATTTTTAACTAAGTTTTAAGTTTATAAGAAAATCCTACACTGCGGGCCATATGAAAAAGATCCTTAGCGAGCTATGAAGAGAATTATGCTTTGAGTTTCCTTGCGTGACAGACCTTGTAACGAAAATATCCCGAGTAAAACCATATTAACAGAGTAAGCCTAATAGGTTATTGGGCAGGTCACAAAGCAGGACCACCGAAGGGATGAAAATTTCTGTAGTGGTAGCTTCGTTGCAGGAAGACATGTTTTTACGTGGCATTCTATGGGGGAGGCTTATGTTTAGCAGTGAAGTCGTGACAGGCTGTAATGATGATGAAGTTTATTTTGGTATTGTGTAATTTTTATATTAAATTGTTGAGATGTCATAATTTGGATATGTTGACCTAGTATATAACAAATAGTATGCAAAGTTTGGTAGTTACTACATTTTTTCTTCCTGTAAAATTTCCCCTAAGAGCAATTTTGTTGTTTGCGTGCCATTTATTACTCTTATATTATTCTAACACTTTCCCCTATAGTTGTCTATTATAGCAACAAAATTTAATACAACTCGATTTAAAGCTTAAAATCATACGAATGCCTGAGAACTTCTGCATAATATGCATTAGAATGTAAATATTTTACAAAATAAACCTAATTTTTTAGTATAAAAATCAAACGATAATAAAAAATGTACTGATAATAGCGATGTGCTTAAACCATAGAATACTAGTTCAACCAGATTAAATAATGAACAGGTATCTTAATTAGGTATGTAGTTTGGTTATAATAATATATTTAATAAACAAATGTTTCAAAAATAATCACAAATGTTGTTTAGCTGTTCTTTTAGAGTTCAAAAAATAAATGGACAAACAAAAAATATAATTATCTATGCGGGAGTCATACGGGGTAAAAATAAATAAATCGTATTTTGGAAAAAATAGTGTTTTTTTAAATATAGAAAACTTCAATGAGGCTTTTTTTGCCCTATAATATTTTTTTTTAAATTATTTTCTAATTAAATTAAACGTTTTTACATAAAAACTCTTGCTGAGATAGAGAACCAGGGATATATTATTTTTTTCTTAGTAAAAAAGGGAGCCGCCGAGCAACTTCAGATAATTCATTGCTGAAGCGTATTTGGTATTTGAGGATAATATCGTAGTCCGGAAAAATCGCATTTGATGCCGATTCCACAAAATAGTATTGCCAGGATGGAAAATTCTGGAACATCTCTTGGTGGTAGACCAAGGATTCAGATAGTGTGGGTGGTATCAAGAATTTTGTTACAAGGTGCAATATTGAAACTAGCTACACGCTGGCTCGGGAGAGGATTACATGTATGCATCACGGTTTCGAGTTACTACCCTACAAAAAAGGTTCTTCATTACAAACATAACAAAAATATACTTAAATATATAATACAGACATATAAAAAACATACAACTTAATTACACCAGTAGTGCGTACTAGTACGTGAGCTAGTACTTAGTGATTTCTTCGTTTTTTTTGTGTGTGTTTTGAAATAAAATGGTAAGTTTTATACTTTTGTGTATTGTATATAATTTGTGGCATAAAAAGTGAAAAGTAAGCGCAAAAATTCTTCGAAATCGAGAAGGTCCGTTTTAGCGGTTGGGTCAAAAATGTGTTAATATTCCCATTATAATTTATGTTAAGTGTAAAATGTAAATAAAAAATAGTTTTATAACATATTTCAAATATCTTGAAGTATTTACTTCAAATTCACATAAAAATATTTTTAAAATATTGTTTGAAAATTCATACAAACAACAATGAATTTCGGATTTTTATAATATTTTAAGTTAAGTTAATAAAAGTAATAGTTTAAGTAACGAATAGAAACACATAAAACATAAAAATATACATATTTCCAAACATTTTCATATAGATTTCTAAAAAAACAAACGTTTTCGTGACTAAAAGTGAAGTATCTACTACTACTATGCTTTAAAGGGTAATTTATGAATTTTATTACAATTTTTAGCAACTAAAAATAATTTTATTTAATAGTTTATACATTCAACAAGAATTCTTGTAAGTTTAATCGATAAATATTGTCTCAAAGTGAAAATATAGCAAAATTTGCAAGTTAGCAAAAAATTTGCAATTGCCGCCATTTTAAGGTCATGAGCTAACAGGTTGTTGAAAATGACGTAACCTGGTTGCTTGGGCTTACAGGTTAATCACAATTCTTCCAAACGTAGTAAATGCTATACAAAACACAAAGCAATGCAAAATCAATTCGCAATGGCAGAGAATTAAGCCAGTTAGTAAGAACACAGGGGTTGATGATACGAGTCGCTCTTCGTTGGATATAACGTATAACTTTTCTTCTCTTTAGACACATCATCTTAATCTTTTGGTCACGTGTACCTCAAAATTAAAGACAAGATTGTACAACCAGTACATGCTGCCAGGGTTGACTTAGGGATCTAACATGTGATCCTTTCTTGCTGGCCATTTAAGGAAGCAAGTCGCTCAGCGAATTATTGAAAGGGTCATGCCCAGAGTTTATCTGTGCGATATGCTTCTTAATAAGGATATCCGCAGCGGAACCAAAGTAACCAACATAACACAAAGATTTTAATAAGACTAGTTTTTCAGTTTTTATGGCGAATATTAAATTATTTGTACAATCTAGTTTTTAGAGATTGAGGTATACCTGACGAAAAGATATGCCGTAATTTCCCGAACGCTGCCCAGCCGAGTTGAATCCGTCGATTGACCTCTCGGTCGAAGTTGGACTTACCTAGTCGGACTATTTGTCCCAGGTAAACGTATTCGTCAACAACTTCGAGCATAGTGCTCCCAACAACTACCGGCATAGGTGTGACATGGACATTGAACATGATCTTTGTTTTGTCCATGTTCATCTTAAGACCTATCCGTTGGGAGGCACTATTGAGGTCATTGAGCATAGTGCTTAAGTCCTCCAGCGATTCTGCCATAAGGACTATATCGTCGGCAAATCGAAGGTGAGTGATGTACTCGCCATTGATGTCAAAAAACGTCTCTCTAAAAACTAGATTGTACAACCAGTGCGTGTTGCCAGTGATGACTTACGGATCTGAGACGTGGTCCTTCACTGCTGGCCGTATGAGGACGCTTAAGGTCGCTCAGCGAGCTATGGAGAGGGCTATGCTCGGAGTTTCTCTGCGTGATAGACTCAGAAATGAGGATATCCGCAGTAAAACCAGAGTGACCGACATAGCCCAACGGATTAGTAAGCTGAAGTGGCAATGGGCCGGCCATATAGCTCGAAGAACCGATAACCGATGGGGAAGAAAGGTTCTCGAGTGGCAGCCTCGTACCGGTAGGCGTAGTGTAGGGCGACCCCCCACTAGATGGAGTGACGACCTGGTAAGACATGCAGGAAGTCGATGGATGCAGGTGGCTCAGGACCGTGCTTTGTGGCATTACTTGGGGGAGGCCTATGTTCAGCAGTGGACTTGTGAAGGGCTGTAATGATGATGATGATGATGATTAAATTATTTTATATTCCCGACGTTTCGAGCACTTACAGCACCCATATTCATGGGGGACCGAGTTATTCGACATCCCAATATTATAGTTAGCCACGGCTACCTCCAGATTATAAATTATTAATTTTTGGTCCGATTTACGCAGTATGAACTTATACCTTCAAGTCTTGCAGTTGTATGATTGGGTTGGGATTTAATTTTAATATCAATAGGAACCCAAGCAGATGGTAGCACCCAGCCATCTTTCCTATTGAAATAAGGATGTTTTTTGACTTCCATACATTCGCGAATTCACGGAAGGAATCGGTTTTCTTCAGCAAGGTTTTGTTTTCTATCAAATCTGACGTAGTGACGTAGTGAGGCACTGAAGACTTCCCGGAGCGTCGATTCTTCACGTCAGCTATGTATTCTTTAATATTTTAGTTTATCCTATGTAAGAGAGACCACATCCACAATCAAGCTTGTACACTCCTGCATCTTGCAAAGGGACATTATACTTGATCGATGGTAAAAGTTAACTAATCTTCTTTTGGTTAATCAAAAAATATCTCCATTTCAATAGAGAAGATTGCTCGGTGCTACCATTTGCTTGGGATCTTATAATTAATAAAATTAAATCCTAACCCAATCATAAAACTGCAAGACTTGAAGGTATTATAAGTTCATACTACGTAAATCGGACCAAAAATTAATGGGTGCGTTTGGCAGAAAAAAGCGCTAGCAAGCGCTTGTAAACAAAATGGCGATCGTAAGCGGTAAGCGCTGTCAAATCGTAAGTAGCTATTTTCCTCTAGGACACGAAGTTAGTTTTAACCGGGGAACCTAACCCAATTTAAATATATGTTTGTGAAGTATTCATATTAAAAACTTACCAATCATGAATTTTTAATAACATGTATATGTTTATTCATGTCATTATTTTACTTAAAACTAATATTGCACAAAAAAAACTTATAAACTCTACTTCAAAACAAACAAATTAAATAAGCAAAATGGCGGATTATGTCAGCGCTACTGAAGTAGCAATCGTGTCCTGGCCGAAAACTATTTCAGCGCTTGTAAGCGCTTGCTAGCGCTTTTTTCTGCCAAACGCACCCAATAACTTTAATCTGGAGGTAGCCGTTTCTAACTATGACCTAAAACAATACACGTTCGCGTAAATATAAGAAATCACTATAGCGCACAACGAATTAGTCAGCTGGAGTGGCAAAAGGTTAACCATATATCCTGAAGAACGTACAACCGATGGAAAGGGTTGGTTCTCGTAGCAGCTACGTACTGGCAAGTGTAGTATTGGTAAAACAAGATTGAGTGACAACCTGATGAAACACGCGGGCAGTCGTCGATGGACATAAGTGGATTTGTACCATAATTTGTGGCTATTTACGGTGCAGGCATATGTTTAGCTTTGGACTTGTGATAGGCTATAATGATGATGATGATGATGACGCTAAAATAGTGCGATTTGCCACTAGGGCTTCATCATCACTTAATAACAGTGGAAGTGGAAGGATCCGGTACTAGGGTGTCTCGGCCCAGAGATGAGAACAGTAGTCTATGTGACACTGGACGTGCATCTTATAAAGTTGCAGGCTATGTGCTGGTATAAAGTACTGGCTTGTCTGCTCTATTATATGCTGCATATTAAGCTTTTTAGGGGCCATTTTGACAGTCCGTTCCAAGTTACTGCAGAACTGAACGTCACTCGATATGTCAATGTCGAAGATTTCGATGCTGGCTGAGGCAATAATTATATGCAGATGATACAAGTGTGTGAGAAAACAGGCTATCAAATTGAATAGTTCCCGGAAGAATGCTTCAAAAAGTAGCTGTATAAACATTACTGATATTCTAATATTATGTAAGTGTTGTAAAACATTTCTCATGTAAGTGAATTTTAATTCTTTTGAAAAATAACTATCTTAAACTACAATATTCCCCTTAACCACTCGTGGTAAGGTAACATTGCTTGTACTATGAGTGGCTCATGCCAGTAGTCGAATGGCGGATTCGAACCCACGACCTTTTTGAGTTCGCGGTCCGCACCCTGCCGTTAGGCTACTGTCGCTTCTTTGTTGGTTTGAGCATTATGACTGTATTTTCTATTTAAATGTATATAATACTTTGAAGCTAGATAACTGATCTTGCTTTCTGTGTAGAAAATGGGTTATGCTAATATTTTAAAGCGATTTTGCTGATTATACGTGTCGGGAATCAATGCATTTGTTTATTGTCTCCGACCTTGTTCTGTGGTAGTATTTGTGTGAGTTATATTATGTTCATCAGTGGAACTAGAATGATGAAAATGTGATGGTATCGAATTTCCTATTTATAAAAAAAAACTTTTAATGTCAAAGATTTTAACTAAAAAATGTGTTTCCCGAGAATATAATTTCTCGGGAAACACATTTTTCTGCTATTTTTGTTTCGTAAAATTGTACAAAGGTGATGAATTATTAAAATCACTCCGGATACAATCGAATTTCAAATCCAATTCCTTAAGTAAAGCTGATTATTGGAATTTTCGGAGCGCCTCGAAATCTCGAAAATATCTGTAAAGAGCCAATCTCTCCCGATATCTCGACCTTCCGAACGCTGAAATTATTGGTCCCGAATACGCAATACCGTGTACTTATTATACACGTAGGCAGCATACGACATACGCAAGTATATGAAACATAATATTTATGGTGAAATCGTGCTTAACTAAACGTGATTTTTATTACTATATTTTCTATTAATTTTACGCACAATTATAATTGTGGAAATACTTTTATTAACTTTTTACTATCGTTTTCATGTCAAATATGTAAAATTACATAATAGTTTAATAGTAGACTAAGCTAGCTTTTTAATAAAAAATATTATTATTAAAGGGTTAGTTTATGTGGCCCTAAAGTAGAAATTGCAGAACATTAAATGAATCGCTGCAAAACTACAGATCACTTCAAGAATAATTTTCTCAAATGATTCACAACAATGTGTTCAGCGAAGTGAATGACATGAAAACGAAATTGGTAATGGAATAATTACCTGCTTTAAAAAGCTGTAGGTAGTGGAGTAAAAATATCCCCTAATTCATAGCCACCCGTGGGTGTCGCAAGAGGTGACAGAAAAACAGTGAAACATTAAATGGACACCAGCATTCTCCTGATAACAATTCAAATTAATAAAAAACTACGGTAGCCAAACCCGCCTGCCAAGTATGGCATCTATGGCAAAATCCCCGTTATAAAACAATCTATGGGAAAGACCTATGTTAAACAGTAGAATGTCATAGGCTTTAATGGATGTCTCCAATGTTCCATTAAACGAAGCAGGCTACGAAATAATATATCCAAAGTTATTTTTACACAAATTGATCTATCAATAACTAGTGTATCGCCTGCATATGCCGTAACTAAACGGTGGCAGCACCTGAGCGTGCGTATTTTCATCGTCCATATTTTCTTTGCAACTGCCATAATTTTTTAGTTAAAAAATCGTAAGCCAACTTTCTTAATTGGCGACACTGCAACTAAGGCGGTCTTATATGTACATAAATTATATTAATAACATAACTTGTTTGTTTAAGAATATTCTAAAATATTTGAAATTGCGTTGTTAAGATGAAAGTAGCAAATTTACTTCACTTTTCTAACCTTTTAATAATGTAGAGCCACGCTCCAGCTACATTATTGTTGTAGCACGCATTGTCGGCTCGACCGGGGACGACCACTCTCTCACAGAATACCAGCGTAAAATAGCCGCTTAATGCTGCCGTGTTTTGTATGGTGAATGCAGAGAACCTGAGACCCTTTTTGCTGAACACGAGGCATTCCATTGTAGTCCTCAGGGGTGACAACGCATCTGCATTTTGATTCTTAATCTAAGATAAATTTAGATGTCTATGGGCCACAACACCCACTTACCATCGGGTGGGATGTTTGTTTGTCACCCCATTTTATAAAAAATGTAGGAGAATAAGGAATGATTTTAATTAGGAATATTTTTTAAGTAAAAAATTTGAATTAATATATGGAAATAAAATTGTATTCGATATGAAATATTATGATAAGGCTGAAATTGTAAATTGAATTTTGTTACAAAGTAATGAGTTCTTGTCAGCTTTGATTCTGTTCCCGCGTACTAGCTTGATCTTCAATACGATCACGTACTGTTCACTTGATTTATGTATACCGACAACCTTTGGTATAACTGATTACCGACTAAGAGCCGAAATTTTTGTTCAGAGAACCCGTAAGGACCGACATAAGGGTAAAGAGGATTTTCAAATTAGCTAATTCTGTGTTCAATTATGTTTATGTAAACTTTTATGTACATTACAAAATTATCAAAATAATGCGCGAAATATATTATGTAGATAAAAAGATTTAATAACCGTAGACACAATTTAAATTATATCGTCAATATAAAGGTTCCCTTTTTAAAGACTAATTGTCAACGGAACTGCTTTATATTTATTCATTACTAGTTATTACTTCATTTCTATCACGCAGAGAAACTCCAAACATAGACTTAACAGTATCTCATTGAGCGACCTTAAATTTCCAATAACACGAGCAGCAATAAAGGATTACGACTCAAATTTATATGTTATGTACTCTAGTTTTCATGTTTTGAGGGTAACGAGAAGATATGTCGTAATCTCCCAAACAGCTCCCGAGCTGAGTAGGAGCTGCCGATTGACTATTCTGTCGAAATTAGTTTCACCTAGTCGGACAATTTGTCATAGGTAAATGTATGTCAAGAATTTTGTGTGTAAACTACCAGCCATATCTATAATATGCAATTTTACTAACAAAACTCTTGTCAGAAATGATAAATTTATACTCTCTCATGTTAGTGTTATAATTTGTGTGATTTATAATAAATCAAAATATTCTCAAAGTCCGTGGTGGAGCCACGTCGCAGCGTATTAAGGCTCCAGCACAAACGCTCGCACAGAATACCGGCGCATAAAATAGCAGCATGATGATACAGTGTAACATATATTAAGTAACGAGAAACGGATACCCTTTTTACCCGATTGCGGAGGGTAACGTGTTTATCAGTCTATATAATATGTTGTATGTATATTTGTTCCTTTGTGGCGTTCTAGAGACTAAACACATGGGCCAGTTTTGATGATTCTTACGTCAATCGATTTATCTTTATCTTGTGAGCGTCACTAATGATATGACAGTAATCAAAATTCAATATGGCGACAACCAGACGCCATGTTGTTTAAAAGAAAATTAAAAGAAAATCGACGATCTATATCAAGTGGGGTATCATTGATTTTTAATTTTTAATGACCAGTTAGGATTTATAACGCTATAAAGTTGGTTAGCGACCAGCTGCTTAAATTTTCAAAACTTATAATAAATCTGTGATAAAGTTCTTATATAATCGTATAATGGGTATTATTAGATTTTTAAAGCATTCGGGTTTATTTAAACAGTATTAACCTTCCTTGTTTTTTCATCTAGTCATCTCATTTTCGTCTTAAGGGATTACAACACATCTGCATGTTGATTTTTAACAGTTTACCTGTCGGCGGTATAGACACAATAGTTAAACAATAGGAATATTCGTTTACGCTTCATGAGACACAGAAAGAGTTAATCAACGGTAAATATAGGTTACAATGGAAATATATATATATATATATATATATATATATATATATATATATATATATATATATAATATGCTCGTTTATCATCCCATAATTCTATAAAAAAATGTACACCGATTAAAAATAACACCAAAATTTTTATTACAGATGTATTTGGACTTCGAGAAATTCATATTACAGTCCCGGAGGCCGTTGGAGTTGGTTCCAATGCAATATTAGGGTGTCGCTGGGCTTTGGACACTGGAGAAGCTCTATATACTGTTAAATGGTACCATGGTGCCCAAGAATTTTTTCGTTTTGTGCCAAAGGAATTGCCTAACACAAGAGTCTTTTCACAAACTGGCATTAATGTTGATGTAAGTGGTATTTCTATTATATTCTATATTTCAATATTTTAGTGCTGTATAGTGGCAGCCACGTACTGGTAAGCAAAATGTAGGGCAACTCTCCCACTAGATGGAGTGATAACCTGCAAGTAGACCGTGGATGCAGATGGCTTAAGATCTAGTTTTCTGGTATTACCAGGTGTTCACCAATTGGTTTGTAAAGGGCCGTAATGGTGATGCTTTTATGTTTTGGTTTAACCAAAAAACAATAAAACTAAAACCTAAATGGGTATCTAACAAATTACGAAATATGTTTTTTTTTAACAAAATAACTATCATCAGTGTTCGTCCACTACTGAACATAGTCCTCTTGAAAGAAGCAGTACTACTTAACTCAATTTTTGTTTAATTAGTTTTATTGTTATAAAAAATCCCGGTGGCTGAAAACAAATCAGAAGGTACAAACTTTAAAATAATTTTTATGATAGTTTTCTATAAATAGTAAAGCCATTAACAATACTAATTACTCCCGTTAACTAGGTACTCCAGGCTATAATGCTAGTGTTAGGAGTTGCTCATCACAGTAGTCGAATGGCGGAGTCTTAGATTACTATCGCTTCAGTAATATCTTATCCTAAGTAATACTTGTATGTTTTACTATTATAAATATTAACATCTTTTTGTGAACTAAAAAACTGAGCACATTAAGAGGAAATATACTATTGATGTCATATCGAATAATCATGGACTTATAATGTGCTCTAGCAGATATTGATATGGCACATTTTATAATTTTTCGAGATACTATCAGACAGAACCTTGCATATAAATTTTTTAAAAATTTGGTTGGCAATGGATAGTTAGCGCTCTATCCCTTAATAAATAATTTTAATGATTTTTTTGTTAAGTATTTGTTTATAAATTGTGGCAAGCTTCTTTTACGATTGACCACATTGATACGAGTTCCATAATTGGTTAATTTACTTTCAGAAGTCACTCAATCAGAATGACCACGCTTAATCATCCAGCAGTAATTGAAGTTGAATAAAAGTTTTCAATTCAATTTCTCTTGTTCCAACTGTTACACGAAAAGTTATTAAGTATTAATCATATCAAAGTTTCATTCTAACGTAATTGGCTTCTATAAACGTAAATAAATTGCCTAACCTACATATGTTTTACTGCTGCTGCTTATATTCATTACTGTTAACGTAGTAAATCTTAAATATGGAGTAACAATATCAATGTTGCCTGCAGACATCGAACTAGGGTTGCCAGCGTACTACAAAGTTTAAGACAAGCAACCAGTTACTATACGTATCTTTCTACAGATATATTACGCTGGTGATATTTTTATTTACTTTTAAAATACATTACAAAATGTATTACAAATAAAACAACCATGTGATATAACTCCTTTTATTGGTTATGTTTTATAAAATGTTTACATAGGTTTCTCGATCCGGTGCACAACAAGTGGTGCTTCGAGAAGCGACGAGGGGACTTAGCGGTCGCTATCGATGCGAGGTGTCAGCCGACGCACCGTTCTTCCACACAGTCTACAAAAGCGCATTTATGCGTGTAATCGGTTTGTTTAAACTATGCATTTACCTTCCAATATCCATAAAATCCCATGCGTCCATCAAATCCCGAGCGGTCGCATACGACTGCACCCACCCACAGCACTTTAAACTACTAAAACTTATATTTAAAAAACACTTTTCTATGAAGAGTTTTGGCATTATAAAATCTATACAAAATTCTCTATCCTTTGGTCTAAACCAAAGTCAGGTTTTATTCCATTACAAAAATATATTATTGTATTTTGATAACAAAAAATGGGTACATATCAACCGGATGTCAGTAGCGTGAAAATCACTATTATTTCTATATATTACTCGAAATTATTTACTTAAAAATATAAAATATATTCATACAAAAACTTTCATCACACTAGAAAAATCCAAAAATTAAAACAACAAAACACAATACCATCCACACGGAAATGGCGTACGTAATGAACGTAGATTATAAATAAATAATCATAGAGTAACTGACTTTTTATTGCACTAGAGGACTGAAAGTTTCATATTGAGCCTATAATTTGTCTCCTTTACCTACTACTTACTAAATTTGCATAGCACATATTAATAAACATTTTAGTCTATTCTTTAGTTACGTCAATGCCAAAATTATGTTAATATACTGTGTTTTTTAAAATAGTCGGCTGTGGCAGAATACCAGCGGTGACCTAAAATCACCACATAGCTGAGTCACAGGCCAGTTTGTCTCATTACTGTTATGTTACTTAAGTATGTTTCTAATTTAAATTTGTTATGATTTCTATTTGTATTTTTTTAATAACATGTGTAAACTGAGACAAATAAAAAGCTTATTTTTATTATTATAATGCCAAACTTATTCATAGAAAAGTAGTTTCTAACCATAAGTATTTATGACTTGAAAGTGCTGTGTATTACGTACGTACTATCGCCGCGACCGTATTTGGCCGCTTGGTAGCTAAGAGGTTAACACCAATTAATTAAAATATTTAAAATACCGTGACCGTGATGTAAGAATATACTTACAAATCTTTCTTTGCATGATTTTTTCTGTTTTTATAAAATAAATCAGGATGATATAATTAATGCTCTAGATTAGAGAAAAAATAATTAAAAAATCCAAGTATAAATAAATAATATGAAATAAGTAAAAAAATTATAATGAAAATATCCATCACCATGCAATTTTACACGTTTAGCTCAATACTAAATATATAAAAAATAGAATATCTTTGTACATTGTTTATTCCTGATTATAATTTAAAAAAAAAACAATTATTATTCTTATTTAGACACAAATTAATCCCACATTTACCTAATACATTGTATTGTAGAATAACCTTTTCATTTAGGATATTTGCACCGGAGTAACCCACCTACTTTTGGCCAATGTTCAGAGCCATCTTTCCTTATGTGTTTCGGAGGTGCAGGAGCCGGAGAACTTATTCTTTTTTTTTCCACATCAATTCTTCTAGGATACTGCTGCTGGGGCGCCCTTTTTAGCATTTTTGGTGGTACCTTTGTATCAGCACAAAGGCCAATTCATTTCTTGGCCCATTGTAAGCAGACTCTTTTTAGGCTCACCCCTTTCCAGAGCATTTTAGACAATCCAAGTGTTTATTACTGCGAGATCAAATAAATGAAAAAAAAATACGTAGGTACTACTTTTTACTCATTGTAATGTGACTTCTGCCCAAAAGCTATTCATTAGGTCTACTCCTCCCATGTGTTTATTGTATTCTTGGACAATAAATGGGCAAGTAATATCATTTTTTTCTTTTTTTACCTTGTCATATCTATTGACTTTAGTCACAGGTAATGCTCCAGCATAAGTAGATAATAGGGTTACTACCTTATTATCTTTCTAAGCTACAAAACTCATATCTATACCATCAAGCATAGAAACTCTCTCTCATAACTACCTCTGGCCACCGATTTCTTCATGAAATCTTTTTTATCTGTAATTTATTATTTGAAATCCTGTTATGTTGCACAGTTCCCCCAGTGTGAATTCCTGCTTTAGCTAAAAATATACTAATGGAAGTGAGGTATAAAAATTATCAAAGTATATGATGTAGTTTAGCATTCTTGGCACTCCCCGAAGCAAGCGTACTACAACATTTTCTGTTGCACCAAGATCTGGTTCATTTGGGAGTTTTTCAGAATTTTCTTGTCTGGAATACACTTCAAACTTATGGGCAGATCCCATCAAATCACAAAGAACATATAATTTGAAGCATCAGTTGTGGTGTTTATTGGGAAGGTACTGTTTCAGAAATACGCACGCATACATACATTTTACTATATTTTCAGTCCGTATTGTGTACGGAAAATAAGATAACTGAATGGTACATATATATATATATATATATATATATATATATATATATATATATATATAAGTACCTCATAAGTACGGATGAGTGGTTTGTATGGAACGTTTGCAAATGAAACTCAGGGTATATATTTAAAAAAAAAAAGAATTCTATTAGCGTTTTTAACATTACTAATACTTCCTTTAACCGCACAAAGTGAGCATAAAATGTCAGTGTGTCGATTGACCCACGGCTTTCCGAATTTAGCAACTACAAACATCTAAATTTGGGAATTGAAACCAAATTATCAGAGTTTTTTAGCATTTATCTTGGTTCCGATTAGGGATTCGAGACTGTGAGCTGTGGTGTCGCCTACCTGAATATTTTGTTTACAATACCACGGTGTTATTGACTGGACTAAAGAGCTAAATAAATCACCAGTTTCATATCAAGTAATGTTTCTGACTGGAAATTAAGATTACAGTTGCTACGAATATTTTCTACAGTAAATTTAATGTTTCGTAAAAAGTTGCTTTCGATTGTATATCCGCGAAAACGTATAAATAATATGAACAGTACCATCTAGCCTTTGTTCAACCCTAATCGTAAATCAGAACTATTGGTTAGCAATAAATACGTGCATAGAGAGTTGTTGGATTAGAATTTCTGTTAGTAAAATTACGGGTTTGAATCGGTATTTTGCAGTTCTAATTATACTTTAAATCACATTTAGTACATTTTATTTTGGATTTTTGAAATATCTCTTAATATCGTTGTGTTTCTTATGAAGTTTTAGTAGTATAGTGTAGAGAATCAGTGACCCCTCATTAGCAACGAGACGTTCCATCTTTGTTCTCAGAGGTGACAACGCATCTGCATTTTGATTCTTAAATGACGGTAGATGTAGATGTCTTTGTGCTATAGCATCCACTTATTATAAGTCGAACTATGTGCTCGATTGTTATCCTTAGTTTAAAGAAAAGTCGCCTAAGTATTATTTTAGTTCTTTGTTAAGAGGTGACTAAGAATATAAAGGCCTCTCTTATGTCTGAGGAGTTGACAAAGAAATAATTAGTCCACCACGCTGCATTCATGTTCTCTAAATATTTTCACATCTCCGACATGCAGATTTTCTAAAAATGATATAATTTACTACTAAGCGCGTCGTCGAGTAGGATTCGAATGAAAGAAATTATTGCTCTAATCCTTTTTTCTATCGTTTTAATATTTTACTATAGTTAACTTACAAATTAAAATATTAAATTTTTATTACTTATAATCATCATGTTTTGTTCTTAATTGCATTCCTTGTATCTAAAAAGGAAAAGACGGCCAAATTATGTACATGGACATTCTCTGCAAGTTAACTTATGATATTACAAAGTTTTGACAAAGATGTAGCGTTACAAGAAAAACACTTTATATTTCAGTAAACCAAGTTTATATAATATAATAATGTTTTTAATTTTTCAACCTATACATATAATATAGGCAAAAGTTCTTTTATTAGTACGAGTAATTGTAGTGTTTTATGTACCTTAAAATATATGAAATATGTACTGTTAAAAAGAGTCCTCCCACATAGATTGCCTCATAAATGTAATATTTGCTACAGTAACTACGTTTGGAAGGTGGGAAGACGACGCAGTTTTTTTATTATTTTAGGTTGTTACCAGAAAGATACTATTGCCCATCTCTGGTTTCAGTTTCCCTCTGTCGCTTTCTTACGATATCCAGAGATGATATGTGGTAGTGGATTTCCTTACGCCACCACTACAGTGCATAGTAAAGTTAAAGTTACAGCCTACATACGTCGCTCTGCTGGGCACAGGCCTCCTCTCAGTCTTGATTTTTGTTTTAGGGCAAGAAAATGTCCGCCACGCTGCCACTACGCTTCTTGACGAACTTCACATGTCTTAGAATTTTTTTTATTATTTATGAGCCATGTCGGTTTCCGGTAAATACACATACACAATATACTACAGTTTTCTTTCGGTCTTACCTCCCTCTATAATTAAGATATATGTCCCACAGTCGGGAAAACATATATTCTCAATTCTGAAAGGGTTTTTAGAGTAAAATTCACTCAAGCAGACCGGATTCGACCCCTGCCGACACCATTGATTTTATTAATTACATTAAGTGGTGATTTACTATGGCGGGGAAGGAAGAAATCGTGAGGACACCTACATGTCTGAGAAATAAATATTTCAAAGACATGCTACGTGCAACAACATCCCCTGGGGGAGCGCTGTGGTCACTGCTTCACCATAAAGGATACATTTAAGTGGGCATAATGATTCCACTACATTTTTCTATCCGTATTTGTCATAAAATGTGACTATGGGAAATGTCGGAAATTTAGTGCTTGTAATATAATTATAGAGAAGTTTCCAAACCCAGCTTTTCATTAAGCAAAATTGGCAAAAAGCAACAGAACAGGAATGTAAACACTTACAAAGTTTTCTCGACATTAAGTTGCAACACTTCACGAAAATAGAGGGCACTACAGGCAAACAAAGCTCGCAAGGTTTAACTTCGGCTCGCAATACTCTCTGTTTGAGAATAAATCCCGTTTACGAAATTCTGTACTCAACTGAAATGAGCATGGATGAAAGACGAATATGCAACGTTCATAAAATCCTTTTAAGTACGGGATCGTATGTAGACAAAGTTGATTTTATTTACAAAAAGTCATATCAAAGTTTCTTTCGAAGTTTTTTTTTAAAAGAATAAGGGTGACAAATCAGCATACCGTTCACATGATGGTAAGTGGATGCTGTGCTCCATAGACATCTACATCTATCCATCGATTAAGTATCAAAATGCACATACGTTGTTACCCCTGAGGACTTAGATGAAATGCCGCAATTCCAGTAAAACGGGAATCCGGTTCTCTACACTCACCATAAGAAATACAGCAGCGTTAAGCTGCTTTTTACACTGGTATTCTGTGAGAGCGTGGTCCTTCCGCGGTCGATCTGGCCCATTCTTGCTACAACCATAACATAGCTGCAGCGTGTCTTTCACATATTTAAAAGTTGACACATAATGTAGCTGTCTATTGAGCACAGCATCCACTTGGCATCAGGTTGACTGTGTGCTCGTTTGACACCCTTACTATATAAAAAATGTGAGAAAGGCATTTGCGGAAATAGACGGTATAGTCCCCGTGCAGTATTTTATTGTGTTATAAGGTTTTAATTCAGCAGTTAAATAACATATTACACTAACACACACAAAAAATTATACATTAAATACTCTAAGGGGTAGAATTGAACAGTGCGAATGATAATTAACTGGCAGTCAACAAAATGTAGATTATTCACGTTTTGATTGCATTACTTTGTTACATTTTCATATGTTATTAATAAAAACAGGTATCAAATTAAATTTAGTACGAAAAATTAAGCTTTTATTAAACCTGTTCTAAATTATGAACTAATTACTACTATATTATACACATGCCACTAATATACACTAATATAAATGTGCTGCTCTTAAAAATTTATAGAACCATATTTTATGGATTACTTTGTTTATTTCGTATACAAATACCATTTTAGCAATTTCGAGAAAACCTTAAATTGTGTTGGTTAATAACAAAAAGAAAAAGAATATTTGTTGTTTGTTTGTTTTCTTTGCGTCCCTATACAATTCATTCGATTACGATGAAATTTGGTGAATTGTTGTCTTTTTGAAAAAAAAAAACATTGCAACGCACGCCGAGTGCAGCTTGTTTCAAATTAAAAAATGCATTTGAAGCTTGTTAAGATATAAACGTAATATAACATAAAGCTCGTAAATTTTTGTCACGACATAATTTTTTTAATTATCTGCATGAATTAATTTGATTTTGTAATTATTTTATTTAGTATATTAATAATGCTGTATTTTTTATTCACTAGATCTACCCTTATCAGAACCGAAAGTACGAGCACAAAAGGGCTGGTATTCGGTTGGAGATATGCTACGAGCTAATTGCACTTCACCTCCCGCTGATCCACCGGCCAATCTTACCTGGCTCATCAACGGCTATGAGGTACCATGCATAAACATGATCTGTACAGTTGCATTATAAAGATTAACATATAGTACTAATTCAGAACATAATATAGTAATTGTTGTTCAATTTTATTTGTTAAGTTAGCTTTCAAAAAACAACAAGAAAGTTATCAGAATATTTTTTGAAAATTTTACTTAAAATTACTTTCAAACTTTGTATATTACAGTGTTTTAATGATCCTCTTATTTCCAATGTGTCATATACTAGCTTCTGTCCTCGGCTCTGACCGAGTGGAAATAGAAACGCCTTCATGTTAATTTTCAATTTTCACTTTTTGCTACTTATTTTTGCATTGCAAATAAAAATTCTATTTCGATGTTTCCTAATACATATTTCATTTGTTATTGAGCTATTATGCTGTTGAAAATAACAAAAGTAAACCTATCAAGATTTTTCCACATTAGGAACTTATCTAATATCATGTTTTCTCGAAGAGTTCCCTCTTATGTTACACATATTTTATAATATGTTTTCAATTTACTATTCTTTTATTAAAAGGTGAAAGGACTCAATATTCCAGTCATCGACTCATATTATGAGAGAAGAAAACCTACAATAAGTGATGCCTCACTTGAAGACGCGAACAGAATTATATTCAGTCCGTGGGACACAGTCTCTCGATATGAAGAGGCTGTAACTGACAATGTAATAGACATTCCAGGCGATATAAGAAATTAATAAAATCAAAAACGAGACTGCCACACACCTGGGCTCTAGAGACGATGAAATAGCAAGCAAACTCAATATTAGTAATGAGGAAGATAAATATAACAAAACGTCTTCATTTAGTCAACTTGTAATAAGAGTGCAACATTCTCATTTCCAAAAGGTAATTAAAAACTATTTAAAATTCTTATAAATACAAGAAAGTTGGTAGTTCATGATAACTTTACATCTTTAATTTCTCTTCGCAGTCATCTTGATACACAGTTTAAAGATTGCAGTTTGATTAAATATTAAAAAATAAACGCTTGCAGTTTTTATAATATAACATTATTATTATTACAATAATTATCAGTAGCACTGATTATTATACTTAATATGTATTTTTGAAATAATACTTAAAGCTGTAGTAATTTTTTTCTATAAAACTAAAATAACGAAAGAACGTACAGTCTACCTGACGGCAAGTTCAAAAAATGAAAACTATAGAAGCGTTGTCACTTCAAAGAACTAAGATGAGATGCCTCAGCCTGATATACTAGCTCTATATACCCTTAAGATCGCAACACTGAATTGCCCGCTACTGATTTGTGACCCCATAGCTAAGGGGGTGCCTATCCAAATGGATTCTGATTTAGATGAAAAAATAGTCTATCCTCCTTTATCTTTATAGGTCTACATTAAAATTTTCAATAAAACGACATTTTAGCGGGCCATAATTATTAGAATGTTTCTAATAATTATAGCCCGCTGTTACAGATTCTCCTTTTAGGTTTGAAAATCCATTCGTAGTCGTTTTGATAATTCATTTTGTAATAAAAACAAAAGATGCATGAGCAGACCTACTTTAAAACTAATAAATGATTTAATTTTAAATATTAAAGAAATAGACGCAGTAAAGCCAAGCTACAACTATATAATGGTTGTATCACGAACGGTTCGGCTCGACCAGGGTAGGACCACGCTCTCACAGAATACTAGCGTAAATTAGCGGCTTAATGCTGGTACGTATTGTGAGTGTAGAGAACCGGAGACCCTTTTTACTGGAAACGAGATTTTCCATCTTAGTCCTTGGGTGTGACAACGCATCTGCATATTGATTTTTAATTGAGTATAAATGTCTATTAGTCGCAGGATACACTTACCATCAGGGGGACTGTATATTCTTTTATCACCATTATTCCATAAAAAAATATCATGTACAATGTTAAAATGATATTTCAGTACAGCTAATAACTTGTTCTCCACATTCGTCCATTTTAAATTAATTTTTTAACTGTTCACTGAAATAGGGTCGATTAAACGTTACGTGCGTAGCACGTGTACTATCTGTGTGGTCTGCAAGTGGAATACTCCTTTTAGACGAGGAAAAACCTCAAATTGCGCCAGTTATGGGAAGCCGTGACTCCAGTTCTGGAGGTTAGTTGATAAAATTCAAATAATATATACAGTGATTATAAAATTATAGGACGATAAAATTGTCTTAGAATTTATCCTTCTTTGCACACCGATAAAAAAGTGGTAAAAACTTTATAACTTAAAAAGGTATATACACCATACCTTAAAGGGTATATATACATAGAACTTAAAATATATATCTTACATCTCTCGTCATTATATGAATTATAATCAATTTAAATAAATAATTGAAATGTATACGACGACAGGCCACGCAGAAAGTTTTGCGAAAAAGGTTTTTTTTGAGAGACCGTTCAGATATAATTTATTTTGAAAACGCGATTAATAATAAGTAAAAATGAAGTAAATGTTCCGTTTTGAAATGTTCCTCCACATTTTTAACGAGCTTAGTTGATATATATTGGTTCATTAAAAAATTGAGTGCATGGGAAACAATTTTGCGCATTGATTTTTCTCGATTTCAAATGTCACCTAGAACCGAATGCTTTGTCCAAGGCCAAATGGGTCATTTAATAGACTTCAAATGACATTCATAGATAAAAGCCCTTCAGCTTGTGTAACAAATTTTGACACGGTCAACTAAATTAAAGAGATGAAGAAAAAAGTGGTCACTCTTCGACGGTTGTTACGGAAAGAATCGTGCTAGCAGTGAAAAATATAATTGAATTAAATAAGCAAATTAGTAATGAAGAGGTTCTGCACATATTATTGATTGAATCAGGAATCTATCACAAGATTGGGTGCTGCACAACCTCACCTATTCGCAGAAGCAGACCCGCATTGAATGGTGTGTGATAAGATTACTTAATTTAAAACAGGCTCGTCTCGGCGAGTTTACGACATAATTACGGGGCATTAATAATTAATGGATCTGTTAAAGAGACCTTAAAAATAAGTGCCATTGGTTGTTTGGCTGTTTCAAAATTAATCATCCTAGAAAAAAATTACAAAATTTAAGCGATCAAGAAGTGAAGGCACATGAATAAAGAAATCGATCAAAGCGATTGAAGCGTTGCGGGTGGTAAGCAAGGTTTAGACCAGTGAAACTGGCAACCAGTGCTGGCTTGTTATTTGCCTCGTATAAACAGTTTTTCAAGACAAACTGGTGGTGGCTGCCAGTTTGCCTATTTTTCAAGTCAGTGACCTCCACCCGCATGCCCCGCAACCCCCGATCCAGAATAAATAATTTGTAATATTAAAATTTTACTAGTGATATTGTACAAATTCCTATATTTGATGTATGCACTATGGGATAAACATTATTTTTATAATGATTTCTTATAATGATTTCTTAAATTTACGCGAACGCTACACATTGAATAAAACTAAATTTACGGATTCTATCGCGTTTATTTGATTTTACTTATTTTTAATTCCCGACGTTTTGGGTGCTTTAAAGCACCCATGGTTACGGGAGGGACTGAGATGTTGACGTCCCAATGTCATTGTTAGCCCGGCTACCTTCAGTTTTTTGAATATTAATTTTTGGTCCGATTTACGCAAAACGAACTTACAGTATCTTGAAGTCTTGCAGTGGTATGCTTGGGTTTGGGTTTAATTTTGTTAATTATAGGATCCCAAGCAGATGGCAGCACCCAACCATATTCTCTATTGAAATTAGGATGTTTTTTAATTTCAATAGCCTCACGTATCATCCTTGGTAGGAATCGGTGTTCTTTTGCGAGGATTTGTAGTTTATCAAATCTGATGTAATGGTGGGGGCGATCTTGAACATGATCACAGACTGCAGACTTCCCGGAGTGTCGGTGCTTCACGTCAGCTATGTGTTCTTTCAAGCGGGTTTTTATGGATCTTTACATAGGTCAAACAAAAAGATCAGCTTTTTATAAATATATTCATAATTTGATATTTTTTTATAAACTACGAACGCTAAATATTTTATTTATATATTTTTGGTTTTTGAATAATTTGATCCGTCTTTTAGTTAAATGATACATTTTAAATGTAATAGAAAGTTTCTTAATAAATAATCTAAGGAATCACTCAAATGGCATATATACAAGTATAATTCCGCCTCCAAGTCCTTCAAAAGTGTCATTGCCAAGGCAAGGTCAGAGCACATCGGCAGAATTGGCGAAAAACTAGTTCGACTTCCTTCGGGAACACGTGCATTTTGGTCTCTCGTCAAGACTGTACAAGAGAACTTTTTTCAGCTCTCTCTGCACACAAGGCAGGGAGGCGATCTGCTAGTCTCTATCTTTGCATCCAACTCGACTCTGGATGACGGGGAGAACACACCATCACCCATTTTTATATCCTTCAGATCAGATGTGCTGCTTACATAGCGATTGATATGCAAATCTCGCTTCGATGGAGTCACACCTCTTGTGCTGAAGACGTATGCTCCGAAGCTGGTGCCGGAAATAATTATAAACTGCCAGCTCATGAGGTTTCTTGAGAATTCGCCAGTATGGTTTCCATCGGGGTCCGTAAGCTGGTGATCTTTTAGCTTACCTAACTCACAGATGGGCGGAGGAAGTGGAGTCCAAAGTGGAGGCCTTGGCCGTTAGTTTGGACATAGCGAAGGCCTTCTATCGAGTTTAGCATAAAGTACTTCTCCTGAACCTTCCTTCCTATGAGATTTTCGAGAAATTGTGCAGTTGGATCACCAGTTTTCTTGCAGATTGGAGCATCAAGGTCCTAGCAGGCGTTGCATGCTCTGATTACTAGCCTATTAACGCTGGTGTTCCACACGGCTGCGCACATGCATCACGCACACACCTGCCTTAAACTTGTAGTATTGTACCATAACGCGGTTGTATGAAGCTTTGCCTCTGGTCGTTTCTTTACCCGTGTGGCGCAGGGAAGATTTTGATAGCAAGTTTTTTCACTTTCACAAAATATTATACATCAATTCATTTGCAAAATTAATAACGTATGATGTACTATAAAGTGTTTACTGCTGTATGCAACAAGCGATCGAACGCGGGCTACTGCTTAACCTTAACAACGCGCCTGCGCATTTAGCACTTGAAACGACTGTACTTTCTCGACAGCACACCGGTTAGCCTTCCGTATTAGCTTTCGTATCCAGCCCTGATTTGTGTCTTATTTTTATTTATTCTGCTGAAAGGGATAAAGTTTTCACATTCACTTTTGTCGTAAGATACGCTATCAGCATTTGAGTAGACCGTAAAAGGTGTGTCTAAGCCGGACTCAAAAAAGTTTTGGAATCTAAAATGGTTTAGATGCATGAAACTTTAAGTATAGATGCTGATGGAAAGTTCTTTAAGAACTTAATAATAAAAACTTTAACCATAGAGCTTTTTATAGTTTCGAACACCAAACCTTTCTGAGTGGCCACGTAGTAAAATAATGGTAATAAATTGTAACAAAAAAGGTAAAAGTTAGATTCGTTTCTATTGCTGGTTTGAATTAAAAATATTCTAAGAATAAAATGTTTCAGGGCGACGACTTACAACAGTGACAAACGTGGGAGTCTTTTCTTTGTGCAACTTCGTATTGCTCAGACAATGGTAAGAATATAAACTGTATTTATTTGACATATTTATGTGATATTTACAATTATAATACAATAAAATCAACAAAATAAAATACTCGTTTGTCCACAGGTCAATTCGATGATCTGAAAATAGTTTATACACAGAAATATTTCTGTTTTCATAATTTCACTGATCATAGCAATCGATTGTTAACACTCATAATTCTAGCCGAGTATAAAACAGTAAAATTGTAATAAAACCGACAGTGGCACTCACAACACCTAATAAATTACTCCAGTAGGCTTGAAATGCAACTGATATTCGGCTAGATATACTTGTACGTATGTTAAAGAGGTATGTTAGCGATAAAGAAGATCGTAGCAATTTTTTACTTGTTGTACATAAAATATTTTAAATTATAGTTTACTGTATAGTGGTGTTTTGCTTCAGATTTATTGTACCTATGTAAGTGTAATTATAAAAGATGAATCGTTAATAAAGGAAATACTTCTTTTTAATGTTTATGTTTCCTGTATTTTAATATTTATTAACAAATATTTACATACGTTTGACGTTTACTTGTTTCTTAGAGACTGAGCTTAGGGATGTCAAAAATAGAAAATTTGTTTGTGAGCTGTTATTTAAGTTTTATTTTACTAAACACGTTCCCACCCCAGTAAGATTTTCTCTCGCATCATGGTGTTGTTTATTTTACATGAATTCTAAAGGTACAAATATGCAGACCCGAATTAATTATAAACAATACAAACATTTGTTTCTGATAAGAAACGAACTGATGGCTCCGTACCATAGCAGCCTAACATTTGCCACTGCTCTACTAAGCTGTCTCAAATAATATAGCATCGAAGTAAACATAACACAAGTTTCTTCCACGTCAAATAAAATATATATAATAAGTATATAATTATACTCAAATAAAATATTCTATTGCGCACTGGCTACGCGTTCGGCAACAGTTCGCGGGTTCGAATTTCCAAAGGATGTTCGATAAATTTCTAGTAATGTCAAAATAAATTGTTTTAAAAGTATATAAATATACCGCTCCTTGAGAATGGTATATTTATGCATTCATAATGATGAATAGTGATTTAATTTCGCCAAGTAACAACAATCCTTAGTATGTAAGTATTGTGAAAACAGATAAGTTAAAAAACTTATTAATAATATGTAGATCACGAAACTATGGGATGTAGATACAACATAATAGGCAACATCATTTTAGTTCTACTATAATTTGCTAAAATTAACTAAATTGAAATATAGTTTTCTCTATTTAATTAAATACCGAATTGTGTAAGCAGATAACCACAGCCAATTAAATAACACATATTTCTATTTATTAAACAAATAACTAGATATTATCATGTGCGTAATGTAAGTAAGTAAAAAAAGTATATTTCTCTTATTTAATGTAATGGATTATTGAAAAGAGTCATTACACTATTTAAATGACAGAGAATCCCAAAAATAGATTAAATCTGTAAAAAGAATGAATAATTTCATACAATAGATAGAGTTTAGAACGAGTTGAAAATCTGATCGGAAGACGTAGATAAGCTAAGTGGTAGTTCTTTTAAAATTATAGGGGTCATTTCTTCAAAATGATATTAATAAAATATCAACTTTGTATTGTATAATATACTGCACTCTTTAGTCGAGATCAAAAAAGAGGAGGATGTGCATAATTCAACTGTATGTTCTTTTTTGTGTGAATGTATGTTACGCGAAATCTTTGTTAATTGAGTATCAAATTTGGTCACTATTTTTTTTATCAAATAGGTACATGTAATGGGTTGGTTGCAAATAAATTTGGAGAAACTGTTATACTTCTGTGGCAGATAGGGGCCACAGTGGCAAAGCAGGGGATGAATTTTTTATATGTAACTATTGCAACGACATTGAGAGTAAAATTTAAAAATTAAAGTCGAGTAAGAGCTTGTAATAAGTTAGTTTTTTTACCACTCAAGACTGCATCACTATTCATCGCGACGACTCGTAGTCAAACAGATGAACCAAGTGGTAGGCCTTTATCTGTTCTTCCGTAGAGTCCGTAAAGGTAAATAATATCCTCGTACCGAGTGAAATTATTGAGAGCTGTTATACTTACAGGCTGTGAGGTATTTCATTTTTGTTCTCGGGGGGTGACAACCCATCGTTAGCCTTTGTTTGAATTTGTTTACAGGTATTCATTGGCAGATAGTCAACCTGCGTACCAAGCGTAAAAAGTAAAGTAAAGTTACAGCCTATTTAATTATTTAGCATCAAGGTAAACCTCTGTGGTTTTTAGATGTTAATTAAGCCTATATTGGAATGTAATTTTTGTTTGATCTGATAAACAAATAAAAAAAAATATAACGTCCCAGTGGGCACAGGCCTCCCCTCATTTCTGAGAAGGTTTTAGTGCAAGGAAGTTTCCGCCGCGCTACCCCAATGCGTGTTGGCGAACTTCACATGTTATACGAAATATTTTTTTCTTATTTCTCAAACATCCAGGTAGGCATGTTTTCGTTCATGGCCGAGCACGTGGTAAATCAGCACTTAAAATGGCAATTAACAATTTTATTGGTGCTGGTGAGGATCGAACCCGGGTTACTCGCGTTCTGTTATATCTACAGCGAGCGTTAGCCATCTGAGCTACCACGGCTCAACCTCTGAGCTACCGCGTGCCAAGCGTGACGATTTAGGCAAATCCTCCCTACAACGGTTGAGTCCCTTGTCCAAAAGTCGTATGATCCGATAAAGAATAATAATAATAATAATAATTGGATTAAGTTATAACAGCAAGCGCTTAGTCCTTGAGCTACAGTGGCCATACCATCTTGCATATGTCAGATGTAAAATACCCAAAGAAGCGACGATCAGCACTGTGAGCTTGCAAGTCCATAATAGCAAAAATTTCCTAGAATACGAGAAAATTAGGTTAATACGTTGATGAAGAATCAAATAAAATTATACTTTTATAACTGTAGCGTATTGAGCACACAAATGTTATGTAATAAAAGAGTTTAAAATTTTTAACAAAAGAAGCAAGAATTTATTTTTCTTGTTCACACAAGCGCAGTGCAGTTTAGCAACTGAGATAACAATGGCGTGGACGACAAGGATTTTCCAAACATTTTCCGGAAACTCTTTACTACAAAATTTACTCTAAAGAATAGTTCTATTCATACAACAAATGCATCGTTGTGATGTCCTGGGGCAATCAGACATCATCCGCAAAGAGATAAGTACGGACATAACCTTAATAGATCTATTATTTTTTAGTTATTTTTTATAGTATACCAAAATACTTTGTGCGTCATTTCGCATGTTTTTATCGATTGATATCTCAATGCAGCTACATTATGGCTGCAGTACAAATGGCTCAGCTTGACAAGGGAGGGATCGGGATCAGTTGCTCAGGGAATACCAGCGTAAAATATTTGCATAATGATGTTCTGTTTCTTATGTTGAATCATGAAAACTCAAGATACCTTTAACTGGAAATGAAGCTTTTTATTTTATAACAATTATTTACGGATTATATCGCTTTTAATTTTAACATACGGCTCACCTGATGTTAAGTCACTACCGCCGCCCATTATCAATTATATTATAATTATATAACAAAAGCAACACCAGGGGAATTGCAGGTGCGTTGCTGGACTTTTAGACTCTCATTCTCACTGAATGGTTATATTCACTTAAAAGGCGATTTTAACTACACCGGCACTGCACGGGGCTACTTTTTTCCACCGGACCAGTGCCGATGCCAATCTACGCTCGGGTTTTGGGCAGTACTAACATAGACTTCAGTTCTACAACATGGCCTTGTCAAGTCGTCGTATCTGTTTGTTATTTATTTTATATATATAGCAAACAGATACGACGAAAAAATAATTTTAAGTACTGCCGCATAAGCGAGGAGACATTTCATCGTTTCACAAGCGAATTTTGAGTCTCAATCTCAACGCTTCTCTTCTACCTCGGTCCGCGTACGCGCACACGCACACGGCTACAATATGTTCACAATACATAATATGTCGTTGTCCCGGCCCCGGCGGTGGCACCGGTAAAAGTCATCGCCACTGGCATTGATAAGTGGAAATACGTGTCATACATTTTATTACATTTTGCTTCCTCGGTAGTCGGCAACGGTCGTGGCGGTGCCGTGCCAGCGAACGGAAAAGCGTCTAAAGAGATACTTTGAGCGAGAAAAACTCACTGCAGTTTTTCATGACATTGATATGTTATCAGGAAGATTTTGCTGCTCATCTGCTGTTTCAGTTTCACTCTGACGTCTCATTACAAACGTCTTTCCAGACTCTCGATTCCAGATTCACTGAAAACGATGTAGTACTGTTTTCGACATGTATATAATTTTGTTTGAACCCTTAAAAAGGTTAGTGTCGATTTGTTCGAGATTGATAGATTTTTTGGTTAAGTAATTGGTTTAATAATGTTGAACATGGTTTCATTATTCTTTAATTTTTTTGTTTTTATGTACATACAATATATTATTCTTTTCAATCAGACGGTGTTAATATAATTGCTTTTTTTATGTTCCTCATTGTTTAGGTTTTTAATAAATGTTTCCCGTTATATCAGTTCAGTTTATTACAATCATCTCTATAATAGTTCCCCTTTACACAATTGGCTATGGTCTCACGAGAGGCCGCCGTTCGTTACATGTCCCTCGTTAGCGACTCCACGTCAAATGCGCTCGCAAAAGGCTACTTAAAAATATCAAACAGAACAAATTTTGTATGCGAATGCTCCTGTGAAATTTTTTTAAATTTATTTCGGTGTATATTACAATATAATTGTTTTTTTTTACAAGCAAGTGTAACAACATAACGTATTTTTTTTTATACAAGCGTTTACAAACAACATTACGTAAAAATGCAACCTTTTAAATTTTTCATATTTTTTAAATTTGCACAAAATATTACCTTAGCTCAATATTAAGAAGCTAGATGTAAGTATTTTCTTTGTAAGTATTTATAGGAAAACTTATTTAAGATTTTATTAACTTGGTGAATATATATATATATATATATATATATATATATATATATATATATATATATATATATATATATATATATATATATATATATATATATATCTCAAGAAAGCAAT